TCCCTGCTGCTGAGCCAATCTGATAAGAGAGTATGCAAGGCTATTTATAGCTTTTCAACTGGAAGACAGATCCATGCCTTTTCTTTGTAGATGGTTCTTCACTTGATTAACACACATATCAGCCTCCTCCTTTTTTCGACACCTTTTACTGTGCACACTGCAGTAAAATGCTGGATTGCAGGGACTGAGCCAAGACCTTTTAGAAGGAATTAAGATGTTATTGATGAAGACTTCTCCAGTATCTTGGCACTGATATGCCATCTCCTCAGCCATCACAGACATTTGTCATCTTTGGTATCATACCTAGCTGCCCACTGTTTCCTCCCCAACATTTTACCATGCTGTTTTCACTGCTGTGGAGGATACTGAGCTAGGAACTGAGCCTTATCTCGTACTTGGCTACCAGTTGCTTTTGCTAAAGACATCTGCTTCCACTGCACCAGAACAAAAGCTCTGTCATAATGCATGCGGAGTTTGGGTTATGTAAGTAACCAGTCTCTTTCCCACCCTCTTTTTTATTATCGAGAGAATTTAGTAAAATTCAAATACTTGCATTTTAGGAAATATTACGTTAAGGCTGTCTTCACTCTGTGCCTGTGTGGTACAGAGGTACCTAAGATGGTTGAAGTATTTCTGAATTGCATTCCTTAGTCCACGGGACAGAGGTAAACATTTAATCTGTTTCACCCCATTACTTGAAGTGGGACCCCATGCCACATTTAATGCATACCATTACAATCCTGCACTGCATATGTAATTAACAATCATCTCCTGAGCTTTTCCAATGCACTTAGTGCAACAGTATCTGTACTTCACAGATGTGTTAATGAGTTTATCCTCACAGCTCCCCTTCCAGGGAGGAAATTCCACCATAGGTAGGAAATGAAATAGAAAATTATAATCTGCATTTCTGAGATGTTTTTTGCTGCTTTGGGTGACCCCCCTGGTCAGGCTGGCAGTTCCTCAGTCCAATCCCTTCTGAAGGCAAGTGCAGTTGTAGGATCCCAGTGCTATTGAGTCAAAAGGCAGGTCTCCAGCTGCTCCTGGAACATGAAGCTGAGACTGCGTCAGCCGCCTCCAGGCGGCTGCTGATGTAAGAGACGCGAGCAGCATGGCTTTGCGAGTTTGTGGCAGAGCTAGATGTAAAATTCTTCCACTTGGTTCATAGCCATAGGCTTTTGTGACAAGACCAGCCTTTTTCTCATGGTCTCCTACCTCCTCTGCACACCTCAGCACGGCTTGAGCAAGTGAATTGAGATACCATTTCCTGGGTTTGACTGCTGGACTTAAAACAGCTCTTTCAGTCCAGACTTTTCCTTTTCTTTGTTTCAAGAGAGATTAGTGTATTGATGCATTGTAAAGCCGGAAGGAGCACTTTGTCTAACCCCTTCATAATGCAGGCCACAGGATTTTACCAAATGATTTCTGCATACCACCGTGGCTGAACAGGCCTACTCCTTTAAAAAGATACAATTTTGATGGCAGATTTCAAATGTCAGAAAATAAAGATAAAAAAGACCCCTGGTGAGCTATTCCAGTGGCAGATCCTCTCCGCTCCCAATTTTATAAATCTACACTCCCATTTCCTTCCACTGAATCTTACTGCCTGATATTAGAAGACACTTCAGTTTATATGCACTTGTAGATCACAAGTAAGCAAGTTGGAATTTAAAGTTCTCTTTGATAAATTCAAAGATGGAGTCAAATCTTTTACTGTGAGGCAGGGTCAAGGCAAGACATTTTGGCAGCCGGGACTCTACCCTTTCCTTTACTCCCACACCTCTTTGGGGTCATCCCAGCAATTGTCATTGGCTCATGATACCACCACAGACCTACAGCCCTATTCCTGGGCAGCAGCAACATCTGGCAGGCCTTGAATATATCTCAGGCTTTTTGATACCCTTCACAAAGGAAGCTTGGGGAGATTTTTCCTCCTGCTGCCCTTTGCTACTCTTCTGATTACAGTTCACATCTTCCATTCCTTCTTATAATTTTTGTCTGCATGATCCCCAGTTTGTCAACATGCTTTTAGCGGTGTGGATGTGTCCAGCTGATACCCCACAGCTCTTCAGCAGTACTCGGTAGCATCAATAGCAGCACCAGGCACAGAGATAATGTGGCTGTTAGTGTTTCGCTTAAGGATCCTATGACAGGCACACATGTGCATCACATGCAAACTGAGCTTCTTCTGCC